GGATTGTAATACTCGGGAGAAGTCTAATCAAAAGGAGAAAGGCCGGATTGAGAAGGCAGAAACGCAGAGCAAACCCGTAATTACCAACAGCCAGGCAAATGGGCTATCTAGGCACACAACCACTTAATTGGTAGTTAGGGTTTTTCAGGGGAAAGGCAACAAAAGCTCCAGAGATAATTTCTTAATGGGGGCCTATTAAGACTGGGGAGTGGGCATTTAGGGCTCATAACTTTCACACAACTGAAATACAAGTTACTATATCACACACACACTACACACCTCAGGCTAAAAGCAATGACCACTCATCTGAACGTCCATCCATCCATTTTCTTCCCCTTAATAAGGTGATTGGCAGGTGAGCAACAGTAACGTAAACAGCAACGTCATCATCTTACACAAGCTGAATCAATGAGCTCAAATGAGCTATTTGAGTCCACGGGCAACAGAACACACACATAGTACAAAGGCATGTCACTGGGAAGGTTTCGTCACTGTTGTTTGCCAAGCAACCATAAAAAGCATCAAATGAAGGAAGCTCAAGAACTCTAACCTGGCTCCAGCCGACCTTTAGCCCCTCCTCCATGGAATTTTAGCGGGCAGGGCGGTCTCGCATTTCTCAATTGAAAAACGATTATGCCTGGTACAAAACACACCGGGCCAGTCAGAGTATTTAATCCATTTTCTGGGTCAGGGGGGTGGCTGTCAGAGCTGCACCCAGTACACTTAGCACCTTTCCCTCACTGATCCGCCTGCAGATGGTGAGTCCACAGGAGCTGAGATCTTTCAGCGAGGACTTCATGCAAAGAGGGTTAAGTGTCTTGCCCAAGGACACAACGACAGCAGACAACAGTGGGCGTCGTGAAGTAGGTCTTACGGTGGACTCGAATCCACAACCTTCAGGCCCAAAGGCCAATACTCCAACCAACTGAGCCAATGTCGCCCCTTCATCTGAACCTTTTAGAAACAAAGTTGCCTCTCAAGTTATGGCCCTGGTCTTGAATTGTATCCATAATCATGGGTAAACTAAACTTTGACCTTGAAAAGGTCAAAGTTCTTATGTCCATCAGCAAATGAGAAAATGGTCAAAGGAAAGATTGGGGGAACTGTGAGGATGCAGAGAAATATGAATTAACAAACACCCAAAATGGCAATTACCAAACAATGCATTATAATCAAGCAGCAGGTCTGCCACTGCTATCAGAGTAATCATGTTATACCTCATTATAAAATGAATAAAGTCACTGTCACCTCCTTACAGACAGTTGAAGATTACATGCTGAATGTGAATACAGAGACACCGACTCACAGCCAAACTGTCTTTGGGACAGACAGACAGTGCAAAAATGGGTGAGGGGTGACCAGCGCTGATTTCAGGGCAGAGATTAGCACCCTCAACCTGAGGTCACAGGAGAGACATGTGTTCGGCCCAAGGTGACCTCAAGCCATTCGCACGCCTCCTCCCATGTGCCTTATAGTCCCTTTTCTCTCCATTTAAAGTTTCATAAGGATGTGGGATATACTGTATGTAGCGATGCCATTGTCTTCACTTATGGTTCTGCAAAAAGGGGTTCAACTCCTCTGCCAGACAGGGCCTTTCTGTGAGGAGTTTGCACGTTCTCACCATGGTTTCCTCTGGGTATTCCATTTTCCACAACCCCTTTCCCCTTTTAGGTTGGGCCCACATTTGTAAAGCGAAAGGAACTTTGAAACTGGAATAAAGGCCCCACGGGTCTGTGAGCTTCTGAGCCCACCTCAAGTCTGTCATTCTTTGACAAGCGCTTTGTGACCCTGTCTTTGGAAGGCGCTATATAGATATAGATTACAGACATACTTACTAAACGTTCAATGTATGAAAGCTTTATTTCTCTTGTTATACAATTGTAAGGCATCATAATGTTATTATTCAGACAGCATTCACTGAGCATTCGATCTTTTTCAAAAGGCAAAACATACAGTATGCCCAGGCTCTATTTTTATCTGATCTAACACCAATCAATCTTGACCTCTAATGAGCACAGAGAAAACACGTATAAGGTAGAAAAATCCGGTTCATTTGTTTTTAAATAATGCCCTAAAAAGACTGCAACTTCAAAATCCACATGCAATCTTTCTATGTAGTCAGAGACGAAGACCACAGAAGAGCTTTCCCGACTCATTCCAACTGAGGGGTAAGTATACAGCACCACTGAATACAATATAAACAGCAGGTCTGTTCCGAAACATTGAGAAAACTGTGTCCACACAAGCTCGCACAACAGACACACACACATACACACAATGTTGTCCGGTTAAGCACGGGCAGTCTCTGTAAAATTACACTTAAGGACATAATCTTGACACAGCACAGTGCTATCTCGGGCCACCGCCATGTTGATTCAGCAACAGAAACAGCAGCGGGAGGAAATGAAGTGTGATGCGCCCGGGCTATACCTCTGTGTATCTGAGACAATGGGTGAAAAAATAAGTGGGGGGAAGGGGGAAGGGGGGGGGGGGGGGGGGGGGGGGGTTTGCTCCTGCGTTTTAATTTAGCTTGGCACGAAAAAACATGGAGATTCTAAGCAAAGAGACAACACAAGACACTGTTTAGATTTGAGTGCTGCTTTCGACACTGTCGATCATGGTATCCTCATTCAGAGACTTGAGGACTGGGTTGGTGTTTCTGGAACAGCCCTAAGCTGGTTTATATCCTACCTACAGGACAGAAAGTATTTTGTGGAGATCGGAAACTGTGTCTCAGACCATCTGGCCCTGACCTGCGGAGTGCCACAGGGCTCAATCCTGGGGCCTCTCCTGTTTAATATTTACATGCTGCCTCTGGGTAGGTTAATACACAGTAATAACGTGTCCTATCACAATTACGCTGACGATACTCAGGTCTATGTGTCCCTGACAGCAGGAGAACATGGACCAGTGGACTCGCTCCTTCACTGTATCCAACAGATCAGTGATTGGATGCAAAATAACTTTCTCCAGCTAAACACAGAAAAAAACTGAAATTATTGTTTTCGGACCTCAGAAACAAAGAGAGAGCGTTATCTGCCACCTCCAGTCTCTCTCCCTGAAACCCTCAACTCAGGTCAGAAATCTAGGAGTAATAATGGACTCAGACTTGAATTTCAATAGCCACATATCATCTGTGACATCATCAGCTTACTTCCACCTAAGAAACATTGCTAAAATTAAAAACATTGTGTCTAAAGCAGACTTGGAGATTCTTATCCACGCATTTGTCTCCAGTCGATTGGACTACTGCAATGGCTTGTTCACAGGTCTCTCTAAACAAGCGGTAAAACAGCTGCAGTACATCCAAAATGCTGCAGCTCGAGTCCTGACTAGAACCAGGAAGTACGACCACATTAGTCCGGTCCTCAGGTCTCTGCACTGGCTTCCTGTGGCTCAGAGAATAGATTTTAAAGTAGCTTTACTTGTGTACAAGTCTCTCCATGGCCTCGCACCAGGGTACATCCGCGACATGTTGGTGCCATATGAACCAACTCGGGCTCTGAGGAGCACAGGGACTGGACTTCTGTTAGTGCCAAGAGTCGGAACTAGACATGGGGAGGCTGCGTTTCAGATTCATGCAGCTAGAGTCTGGAACCGTCTTCCCGAGAGTGTGAGACAGGCGTCTACTCTGGCAGTTTTTAAAACTGAACTGAAAACAGTTCTTTTTAGCTGTGCATACAAGTGAATGATTTTACATTTGTTTTTATCTTTAATCTTTTTAATGCGCTATGATTATTTATGATTATTTATGATTGTAATCCCTTGTGTGATTTTAATTTTTTACGGTTTTTAACTACTTGTGTGATTTTATATATCTTGTGCTCTTAATCTGTCTTTTTATGTTTACTTAAATTCTAATGTTTGATGATTTATGCATGATGTTATATGGGTTGTGAGGCGCTTTGCGTTGCCTTGTGTAGGAAAGGCGCTCTATAAATAAACGTTGATTGATTGATTGATTGATAGATTAGCCGAGGAAAAACAACAGATTTGAGTGCAGGCTTTGGAAAGATAAAAATGTTGTTTCAATGCAGACTGACCAAAAGAGACATTTTGCAGCGAAGAGTCAAAAAATGAAAATCTCCCTATGTTTCTGAATAGGTAAAAAAAAAAAAAATAGACTGCTAATTCTTCTCCATGCACCAGCAGGAAGTAAGCTCTTGCAAAAACATTTATCTTTGAGAGATCTTGCTTAATCATCTTGATGTTGTAGTGCAGCTCAGCAATGGAGGAGTTAGATTTGGATTAGGCCCTCCCACTGTGCGAGTCTTATCAGCGCCTCACACTACAGCCAGACACAGGTCCTCGGTCTGAGCCACGGAAATCTCTCTCTGACAGATTCCCCGCTTCAACTCGCTGCTTATTTGTCAAGTGACAATATCGGCTTGTCACTCACGCTCATAAGTAGACGGGCTAAGAGCATATATAGGGGCCGGATACACAGAGGGTATTGAGTTTCAAAATAGGTAGTTAACGATATAGTTAAATGAATTGGATAGTTAATGACTCTACGCCCATTTCATGAGGCACAGCCAATTCTTTCTAACTATTAAGTTCAAATGTTATTTCTATTAATAACATTAGAGTTATAACATGGATACACAATCAGAGTCCTTGTGACTGTGAGCGCCAGATATGTTGTCTTGCGTTTGTCCACCTGCGTAGGCCATAGCTATCTATTCACCATAACACAGCACAAGTTAAAATAGTCAGAGATCCAACACCAACCGCAAAAACCTTTCACCGTATCTCTCTATAGCATGATGAAGAAAGGTTCCTTCACAGTTGTGCGACGGGGGTGTTTTCCAAAGGCCAGATTGCACAGGACCTCTTTAATGTGTAGTTTATGGTATATTGTAAAGCTGACCTACACCTGCATTTACGGCTCCAGCGTGCACCGTATTACGTTTATATATAGGCCACGGCTCACGGTGTAACAGAGAAAATAGCCCCCGCAGGATGTGGGAGTGTCACGGAGTCTGGCAGAGAGGTTAATGATGGGCTGGCTGTCACTCCTGAGGCAGGGCTGGGACAGGGCGCGCTTCGAGAGGGGGAAAACAAGGTCTTATGGTGGTATTAGGACATGTGGATATACAGATACAGTCAAAGTGAGGTGCAGGCCATGCTTCTCAAACTGTGGCTCACGGTTGTCTGCTGCTAATTAATATATATATTTTGATTTTTTGATCACGAGGGTCCAAGAACGGTGATGATCTGGGACTATATATGGTCATTTATTAACATTATGGGCATTGGTTATCCCGCTCCCTATCGACCAATGCCTATTATGTGTTATTACTGTATTTCCTGTTTGATCCTGTTTGAAGTCCTCTGAGAACACTGCTGTTGTAGTTTACGGCTGTACAAAAAATAGTTGTATTGTATAATTCCGACAGAACTTCCATATGTTCATAGAGGTCAATTTAAAAATGTAAAGAATCATCTACACATCTTCCTAATGAAACAGATTTTTTTTCTTTAAGCATTTGGTGTGTCATTCATGTTGGTGATTGGTGAAGGCTGATGACCTGTTTTTTTTTTTATTTTGAGTTTGGAAGAAAAGATGGAGCCGAATCTTGCTAATACTCACCTGTCAAACTGGTAATCATAATTTGTCTCTTATCTTATGAATCTCTTATGAGGGTTGCCAGTTTGAGAGGTAAATGTTATCTTTTTTTTTTTCAACAGGGAAACATGTACCAAGTATTCAAATGCAATACACAGTTTTTACCATTTATAGCTAAACCCCAGCGGGTGGTTTTCATCAGTAATCAGTATGATTTTAATTACTTTAAAATGAATTGATTATCTGTCAACATCTATGGACTTTGGTCATCTGCCCCCTAAAGACCAATGGCTCTATGTGTTTTTCTAATAATTGAATTGCCTGCGTTTAATCTGTGTTGGCAAATCAAGAACTTTGTAAAGTCCTCCAGTCCAAGAGAAATACTGTTGTGATTTAGGGCAATACAAAAAAAAAAGATTGAATTTTATAAGACGACTAATAAATATGCATAGTACCATCCGTCCCAATATGTTAGCTTGTTGAGTTTAGTTGGCCCAATCTGTGCCTCATTTAATCTTGGTTGAGTCTTAGCACGGTGGCTGAGTGGATAGCACTCTTGCCTCTCAGCAAGAAGGTCCTGGGTTCGAATCCCGGTCGGATCAGGGCCTTTCTGAGTGGAGTTTGCTTGTTCTCCCTGTGTCTGCGTAGGTTTCCTCCGGGTACCCCGGTTTCCCCTACCACTAAAAATATGTACAATAGGTCTGGCATGCGCCTTGTGTACGGGCGACCCCGCTCCCATCTCTGTGTGGAGTGAGAGACAAATGCCCAAAATTAACAATTGTAAACCACTTTGAGACTCTCATTCCTTCCAAAAAAAAAAAAAAAAAAAAGTAAAACTCTGCCAGCATTATTAGTACAGAATCTTGTACACCTCACACAGACACGCAGACCCCGGTGTGTTTACCTGTGACAGAATACGTCGCACCTGGTTGCTTCCATAGGCATCCCCCACAGACCCTCAACCACAGCCTTATAATTGTCCTTTCATCGCTCTTCAAAGGCTGGATCAGAGCGGCTCCATGTTTATTTATGTATATGTGTGGGCCCAAAGCCACGCATCCACCGAGGAACTAATTACCCTTTAATAATGCCTACCATATAGCTTACACTGTCTTTGACTTGAAATCACCTCAGCCATGGGTCAGGTTTTCCCATGTATTTGGTCGGTATACTTTTGTTCACCATTAGTATGATATTATGCGTACGGAGGATTTTAACATCCTGACATTTAGACACCCTTTATCTAGTCTGAAAGTCTCTTTGTTTCATTATCTGCAGATTCACCATTGGCTTCATCTTCTGTCTAAGGCTGAAATCCAAAAGTTTCAATAAGTGGGATGATTCAAATCCTATTGTTACTATTTATGTTCTGTATAGCCTTATTTTAGACCTCCATCTTATCACCAATAGGATTCATATGTTAGAAAAGTATTAATGGAGCATTTTAAGGGGGTCTGGATGAATAAAAAAGAGATAAGATAGATAGATGGACTGATAGATAGATTACTAATGTGGGAAACTAATGAAACAACAATTCATAAGAGAAAATAATTTGATAAAATATGATTACTTGAAGCTGGAGTACTAATGTTTCAAAAGCACACTGAATAGATAATAAAATCCAAATAGTCCCATGCTCTAAAACAGTTTGGTTCAACAACTAATCTTTGTATATATACATGTTAGGCCTGGTCACTTCTTTTAAAGGACAACTCACCCTCAAATCCACTTTTTTTTGCTGATAAACGGTATAAATGAGTGTCCAATAGTGTTGTCTACATATCCTGGTCATAATCTTGTCACTTTGGTGCAAATTAGTTGAAAGTTAGACTTTCTGCCTAAAACCGTCTGTGAGGCGCCATCTGCTGGCGACCTGTATTACTACATTTGAATTTTGAATCTGGCGCCAACACTGGCACAGAGGTTGGACCTGACGTCTGCAAGTTGGACCTGACGTCAGCAGCCCCCCGCCCAGAGCAATATAAACGGCCCAGTCTCGTTCACGCCCCCTTCAGTCCTCCAGGCTACGCCCATTTAGAGGAAGATTTGAACAGGAAATGTGAGTAACGTAAGCTCCGAGGAGCGGGGGTGAGAACCACTTTAAACAAATTTATCAGACAGAAAAACTAAAAAAGAGAGCTCTTGGCCCCTAAGCGTCAAATAGGGCACACATAACGCTTATAAATATACAAAATATTCAAACACAATTCGAATAGGTTGGAGTTACCAATTGTAAAGTCAAAAAATTCTTTATTTTGTACTTTTTTGAAAGTCTCCTTGGGACAAACAACATGTATTATTTATTCATGGAAAAAAAATCCGTACCCAAACTTTAAACCTGAAATTCTCCAATGCTGTACTTGTTATGCCTTTTTGATTAAACCTCACCTCTCTCCATCCGCCGGTGTTTGTTTGTTTCCTTCTCAATATCTTTGCCCACATCCTATCTACTTATCAATCTGCAAACATTCCAGCCTGCTCTCCGCTCGTCCTCGCACTCCTCCTCGGGCGTGGTGTGCCTGTGTGTCCAACCGTCTACAGAGCGGATGGGGTCCAGCTGCAGGAGCTGTCACTCACTTTGGCGGGAGATGGCATCAGGATGTTCAGAGGACACCCAGCACCTTTCTGGCACAGTGCAGATAAGAGCGCTGCGAGCCCAGGTGTGGCGTGCTCTGTGTGCTCTGGCCACTGCGAGGCTATGAGAATCAGTGCAAAACGCAAGCATGGATAGGAAATAAAAGTTTGCAGAAACATATGTGCACTATACTTTATAACACAGCCAATTCAGGTGGAGCAGTGGGGGAGGAGAGAAGAATGTTGTTATTAATTCATTATCCCTGCTGTGTTGTGCAAATGTGAGCAAGGGACTAATGTACAATTTCCTTCTATCTATCTATCTATGTATCTATCTCTCTATCTATTTATGTGTATGTCTATATGTCTATCTATCACTACTTCCTTTCAGCAGTATACAATGAATGTAAATGCAGCATTGTAAAACTATTGATGACATTCATGCAGCTAAAATCTGGAACTGTCTTTCAGAAAATGTGAGTCAGGCTTCTGCTCAAATCTTTAGCTGTGCACACAACTGGAGTATTGTATCTTCACTATTGTAATGTATTGTGATTATTTATATTATGTTAAGCATTTTTTGTTGCCTTGATTCAAAAAGGTTAATCTTGTCTTGAGTTAAAATGGGTTTTGCGGTCCCTTTGAAAGACAAACATGAAAAAAAATGACACGGCGGGTGACAGTTCTGAAGATGGCTCGAAGCTCTGCAGCCGAAACATGTTAAGAAGGTAATACATCAAACTTGCCTTTCAAAAGGACCAGGAAAAAAGCACTTTAGTTGCCTTGTGTATGAACTGTACTATACAGATACAGTAAAGACGCCTTGACACATATTGGGCCTCATGTATGAAACTTGTGTAAAAAAAGGTTGTATATTCCATTAACGCAAAATCCAACGTCGGATTAATGAACGTGTGAGATACACCCAGATCTGAGCGTACGCACCTGCGGTGTTAGTAAATGCCGCGGCTGAAAACAAGCGTATTTATGAAAGACACGCCTAGAATTAAGCAGCAATCACGTGTTTCACGCCCGTTTTTGCGACAGGTGAGCACGGAAGCCGGCCAAAAAGACTGTTTAAGTAGATGGAACCTGAGGTGGTCAGACCGCTGTTGGAAACGCAAAATAGTCCAGTTTTGAGCGTATTCTAAATTCTCATGCTTTGTAATCCTTCTTTTCCATAAAAAAGATGTTAAAATAACTGGAAAGGACAGGCTTTCAGAGAGAACTCATCTTTGTAAGGCAGGACAAAGTTGGCACTCAGACCAGCTTCAGATTTGACATTGGCTTCTGGATGGGAGTCGAGACATCCACACACTCAAAATCTAGACTTTTTTTTTTACAATAATCCAATGCATTCAAAGTTCTTTTGGATAATCAAAACAAGCAGAGGTGTCTCAGCGGTGCGGCCTCAGAGGGGGGTGTTTATTATCAGTGAAATAACCCTGTAGATCGAGACAAGGCAATCAGGACATTTCATAAGCGTATACCTTAAAGGAATAGTTCACCGTTTTTACATACTGACAAATGTTCTTACCTTACCTTAGACTAGTTTATGCGTACCTGTCTGGTCTTAGTCCGTGCGTTCTGTCATGCAAACGGAGCAAAAACGGGAGCACAACCGCAGCCTCCTCTGTATATTTTGTAGCACCAAAAGGTAGCTCCCGCTAGAAGCTACCAAACTCTTCCAAGTGTTCCCTATTAAATGTATATAGTTACGTGACGTGTTACACTGCAAAGTATAGTAACACAGAAATGTAACAGTCGATTTTCTCAGCGGATAAAACGGGTACTATATTGTGAGGCGTAGTAATCTGAGGGGCGCTACGTCCGCGCACTAACTTCTCTCCGGAGACTTCTCTCTCGCTCACTTCCGTCAATAGAAGCAGCGTGACTTGTAATACACACAGTAGCAGCGAGAGAGAAGTCTCCGGAGAGAAGTTAGTGCGCGGACGTAGCGCTCCTAACTTCTCTGCGCACTAACTTCTCTCCGGAGACTTCTCTCTCGCTGCTACTGTGTGTATTACAAGTCACGCTGCTTCTATTGACGGAAGTGAGCGAGAGAGAAGTCTCCGGAGAGAAGTTAGTGCGCGTGTTCTGTGTTACTATACTTTGCAGTCTAACACGTCACGTAACTATATACATTTAATAGGGAACACTTGGAAGAGTTTGGTAGCTTCTAGCGGGAGCTACCTTTTGGTGCTACAAAATATACAGAGGAGGCTGCGGTTGTGCTCCCGTTTTTGCTCCGTTTGCATGACAGAGCGCACGGACTAAGATCAGACAGGTACGTATTAACTAGTCTAAGGTAAGGTAAGAACATATGTCAGTATGTAAAAACGGTGAACTATTCCTTTAAGCTGAACGAAATACAATAGTTGGAGGACGTGGTTACAATTGGAAAGATTGATTGAATAGATTGATAGTTTTAAATGTTCTAGATTCCCATATAGATAACGGGTGATGTGACTAAATTAAATAGTTTACTGTTGAGTTTATGTGAATTTTGTTCTGGGTGAAACAGGGACACCATTCATTTAATAACAATAGGACAGTTCTAGCTGCACTTGCTCCTCTGACATTAGCCCACAGTCAAAGACATCCACCTGGGCTCGGTGACTTTAGCCTGCCCTAAGGCACACATGTCAGGAGGATTGGCTTCTTCCTTCTTCTGTTAGCTATAGACAGTAACTCATAATTGACCAGAGTGTCCTAAACCTGAGAGGAGCCCCGGGACAATTCAACCTGCGAAAAGACAAGTGAGAAGGAACTAGTGCCTGTTTACCGGGACAAAATGTGCAGAGGTATGGTCTAATTTAGCTGCACTTTCTCCTCTGACCATTGTTTAAACATATTTTATAAACTGTACATGTAAGATAAAATAAGATAAACTGTATGATCTCACAATGGAGACACATTATATTATACATTATATGAAACGTAGCTGTAGCTGTTTAAAAGTCTGCTGCAATGTGATACAAATAAAAAGTAACATTGGGTTTTAAATGTAACTCATTGAAAATAACATGTTTTTTATCCTTTCATTGTCAAGGTTTTGCATCACAGTGAAATAGAGATAGCTTTGGACCACGGATTGTCTGAGACTCTTCTTTAGTAGTGCACATATGTTTCTTCACCTTTTCAAAAATGTTTCAAAAGACACTGTTTAGTTAAAGTGATTGTCTGGAGTTTGTCAGAAAGAGAGAGAGAGGTACTTGATTTGAAAAAAACGACGCAAGCTCCCTCCCCCTTCCTTTCTGATTGGTCTACACCTACGTTTCCGTAACACTTTGAAATGTTAATCAGAGAACACATTATACATATACATTATTAATACACATGCACGGAGGTTTTCAGAATTATTTGTTAACGTTTTAATTAAAAAAATAATGTTTTAATGCTAAAAAAAGGCGATCGTGGCAAACCCGGAAGTGCTATTATCATGAACTGCACATTATAGGACACATCTGATTATGGATATAGGTTCAGTATATACATGTTCGCGGATGTTCAGAATTCTTTGTTCAGTTTTCGTGTAGTTCCAGAGCCTACTAGAAGCTTGATTTGGAGGCTCAGTGAAAGCAAACAACTGAGCATGCACGCAGCTGCGAGCATCAGCGCCGATGATTGACAGCCCTTGGCATGACTCGATTGGTTAACCTCTACGGCACCGTGGATTCTGAGCTATAGCTAAGTGCAGGGAAGGCGGGAAGGACTTGCCCGTAATATTAGAATTAATCAAATGACTTATTTTATATCAACATTTAAGGCCAGGAGGTCAATTTAACACATTTCCTAAAATTTGTAATTCATTTAGACTATTACTTTAAGTTTAGTCTTTGTTTGAGAGGTACAGTGCACATGCAGCAACATTACGCTCAAAGACAGATATGTTCTGCTCTGGATTATAGCGAAGCAGCTAATTTCCATCTGCAGGCCCCGGTTAAAGAAATACAATAACCTAAAATCAAATTACAACAACAGGAAAGTCATTTGATGTGAAACAGACACACAGTGGATCCTTGAAAGTGTATGAGAGATATTTAACCACTGAAATCAATGAATATACAAAAATGGAACAAATAAGATACGAAAAAAGACATACATTTAAATACAGAGAAATGTTTGTGGGCCCCATGTCACTGCATAAAAATTGTCCCGGATTCAGAAGCTCACCTAAAGAGTTATGGGGTTAGGGTTAGTATCTACACTTGTTCTGCCTCCGGTGTGAGCAAAGTCGTTTCATGTCATTTTCATCTCTGGGTTGGGGACAAACAGAGCTGCAACCCAATGCTCAAAGCACCAGTCCATCACTGATCTGATATTTTATAAGAGCGGAGTAATTAAAGTCATGAACATGTACTTTCTCCATACAAAAGATATAATGCAGGTATCATTTTTAAGTACATTCCTCATAGATTGATTGAGCAAAAGTATTTCAGTCAAAGCAATATAACTTGTTCAACACTGCTAAGATGCAGCCACATTTGACCAAAATGCAAGTTGAATCGAAGTAGAGAAGCGTTGCATAAACATATCCAAGCATGAGAAAGCAGCCCTCCCCGCACTCATCCCAGCTCCACATGTGCGTAATTCTGTCTCAGAGGAAGCTCCAGTGCCCTTAGATACTGTGATTTGCATGGATTTGAAGACGAGATGGTGTGGATTTCCAGGACACTCATGAGTGAATGTGACCACGAAGGCACGCTGGATTAAACCGGAGCGGGGGCCGTGTCTTTGATAAGCAGATGAAGGCGAGTGAAGAGAGGAGAGGCAGAAAGGTGATTAGAGGCAAAGGCCTGACATCGGCTGCTCTGCATGAGATGGCAGATATAAGAGACCAGGGAGGTGAGATTCAGAGCCATGATTGCAACAGGTGATTATTAAAAAGAAATAACTCATACATGCAATGAGCCCCGGTGGACATCATAAAATATCTTAAAAGATACAATACCTTATGACATTGGGGTGAAATTCTTCTTTAGAATTTGATCTTTTGCTGTTCTTTAAAATAGTTCCGGGTTGTGTTTTCAATTGCCTGTGTAACACAGATAAACCAGCAACAACCCTTGAGGCGCAAAACATTATGGTATTGCACTAGTGGTATATAGAGACTGCTTTTCTTCAGTGACACATAGTATTGATAGACCCTTGTAT